TTTTCAGATACGCATGTAAGTATTTAATTCGTATTTAATCATATAGAAACATAATTAAAAAAAGTTTAATTCAAACTTTTAAATTTAATATACCAAAAGTGTTATTTAATATTATAAATAACCTACACGGTAAGTATATTTAACAAAGAATAAATATTATCAACCATTAGTCAGTTATTCTTAGATGAATTAAAATATTATATATAATTAGAGACATAAATTTACCATTAGAAAAAAKATAGCACTAACTATTATTATTAGATAAAAAAAATTTTGCAAGAAATACAAACACTTAAAATTGTATACATGTATGTGCCAATCAGTGCATGTCAAATTTACAGGTCCCTTTGTCATAAGATATTTTTTTTATGATTTTGGAACATTGAAAAAATGACATGGAAATTGTTYACATTTTTTCTATAGTTAATTGCCTAGAAGTTACACTGCTTATATTCTTTAATCATTAATTTTTATATGGTACTGCAGTATTTTAGTATTTATGATATTAAAAAAGTGGATACCGTTCCGCCGTATAGTAGATTACAAGTGATTCACTGTAATGAATGATGTTAAATATGAATGCAGTGATAATTTAATGTAATTATATACGAAAAACGAATCTGAGCAGAGACAGACTATCAGTGGTAAGTCAGCTTATRATATAATACATACAATTTTCATATTTTGTATATATAGTAACTAATTTATGAATTTTTAGTTTTTACTAGTAATYCATCAACCCATTAAAAAATCTAAAAAAATGTTTAAATTACAGTGAAATAGCTAAGACATTCTTCATTAAAATATCTAATTTAATCCAAATTTAGACTTAAACTAATAACAACAACAAAACTGTGTTTACATTTTTTTTTTAGATTTTTTAATGGATTTATGAATTACTTGTAAAAACTAAAAAAATTATAAATTAGTAATTATTTACAAAATATGAAAATTTTGAAATTTGCAAYGATGAATGGATTGATATTGACTTTATTATTATCTAATATTCTAATCGTTCGTTTGACCAAGATAAAATTAGATAGTACATTTACKWCAATTAATCCAATAATTTAGATGTTCATTATATAAAATGAATACCATTTAAAATTCATAAGATTTTCAAAAATCGAATTATGCATTTATAGATGCATTATTTTYAAAATAATATGCGAAAATACGCAAAAAATTTGTTCTATTTAACCGAGAATTATACAAATCGTGGACTTTTTTAACAACCAATAAATTTGGACTCGAGGAAAAAACATGCAAATCCATATAAATCCTATAGCCCTATAGTCATAAGTTCATAAGTCATAATTAATAACTATTATTGATGTGTAAAATACCATAATCATATACCTGTCGCCCAATGTACAGTGGAGTGACCTTCAGCATCTCGTTTATTTGGGTCTGCCTGGCCGGTGACGAGCAGGAATCGAACTAACGGCAAATTACCTGCGATTACAGCCAAATGTAAAGCTGTATGACCATCGTCGTCGGGTATATCGACTATAGATGGATCAGCTTCCAAAAGAAGTTTGGCGCAGTCTGCATCGTCCTCGTCGTTTTCAGCACAGTAGTGCAACGCTGTCTTAAAAACACCATCCCGTTCTACCACTGACAATGGCTATTTGCAAAAAAAAAGAGTTTAATTATCTAAATGAAGCATGACGCGGTGGTGTGAACAATATTATTCTGTTGAATTAAATCAACGATCAGCAGTTTTATGTTAATTATGTAGGATTGTAGGATTGTTACATTTCTACTTAGTTTTTGTTATTTATTAGGTACAATAATTAATTATTTACTTTTTCTTCTAGGATTAGTTTGACTTGTTCGGATCGTCCATACATACATGCTTTCATCAAAGGCGTTAAGCATTTGTCATTGTTAACGTGTGATGGCGATCCATCGAAATATACTCGCTTTCGAAATTCAGTTGTAGTGGTGGTCCGTAATGTAGTCATTATTAAATCGTATTATATCCAACCTTTAACACATTTTTGTACATTTATAACTTTAATAAAAACTTAATAAATGATTATTACGTTTTTGAGATTTAACAATCTTTTTCAATAATAGATATTAATAATAATTGTTGTGCAAATACTGCAAATCATAACATACATAGGCATTTAAAATACACGTTAAAATAATTTTTGTTTTTTTTAATTGTCTAAGCCCGGCAACTATATATTATGATAATTAACTAATATTTTAAACTAAATATATAAAAAAGTGAGAAAGTGAATATCGCTCTGCTGTATAGTAGGTTACAAGTGGGTTACTGTAATGGATGGAATTAAATTTTAATCCACTAATAATATTACMTCATTGTATATACGAAAAACGATTCTGAGCGGARACGATTARGTTGGGTTAGGTTAAGTTAGGTCATTCGTTTTAAATTCACATCAAAAACCAAACTGATTGTGCGTAAAATTTCACGTTTTTCCCTAAATTTTTAGTTTGTTTATCCCGATTATTTAGAAAAATATTAAGAATTTTTTACTTTTGACTCCCCCTCCCCAAGTACCAACTAGATTCACTTTCTGATCTAACAAGGTACTGAAGTCTCAAAAATCGAAGCATTTTTACTTCCCCAAAACGTGATAACAGACACAAAAAAAAACACACACTCGCTCCGCTCAGAATCTAAAATGGATTTCTATTCTGTCTGTTTGTCCTTTATGCATTTATTCATTCTATCTATATAAAAATATACTGCTAGTATAATCACAGGAAACGAATTTAACACTCAGTTGGAGACATATAAGAGGTAAGATTTTTAACGGGTTACGGGTTATTATTAATTAATTTAAAAATAATTTAACTTTTTATAGATTCTAATCAAAGCAATGTATTGAAGTATTAATTACAGAATGTGGAATGTATTTATTTTACAATGATGTGTGACTTTTTATGTGTCTGTTTAATGAATATATATGTCGAAAAATACTTTGATTTTCAACATTAAGGGTGGGTTCTACTCAAAACTGATATGATTATTTTGGTGTAACTCAAAAATGAATAACCGTCCTACTTGGATGGAACCAGATATGTACCAGGTACCTATACCGATTGGTGAGCTTAGAAAATGATAAAGAATAAAGATATAGGGCTTACGCCATGCATGGATATATCCAGTATGGTTTATATACATATATGGCTCATATGTAAGTAGGTATGCTAAAAARTAATTCATAAAACATACTATAACTGATAAAAATTATTAAAAAGCAACATTTTTTTTTTGTTTACCTATCTATTAAAAACTATATTTATTATGTTTAGATACATTAATAGAATCGAATATAATTAGATATTGATATTTTTTACTTGTTTACTTTTTTAAGCACTTTTTCATTTTTACGATGATTATGTAAATTATATGAACGTTCTCGAAAAAAGCGAAAATATTGACTGAGCAGCAATAAACAAAATGTGGAATTTATTTCCAAAGGCTATTTRTACATTCTGGAATATTTGTTGTATGGACATAATATGGTCTATGACCTTGTCACATGATTATTTAGAAATCGATTATGCACGCAAAAGTTGAGCGTTAATTTTATTCGGACACACAATGACGTGGTATAGTAGACATTAACCGATGTCTTGAGGTCGAGGTCGAGTGTTTTCGACCCAATTACCATTAAAATAATAATCRGCCAGGCAAAGGTCAATCTTTTTGATTACCATATAATTCGCGTGTAAAAAGACCAAACGCTTGTGGTTGTGATGTTATCCTGAATGGCTAGTTTTGTATAATTTCTTATGTAGTATTAACCTGATTTTATTATCGCCTACTTTYGACATTTTCTAGTAATAAAAAGTCTATGCTTTTTTATCAGTTGACCTCATTGTGCCACAAAAAGGACGCCCTAGCTACAACTGAGTCACAATAGTATAATATCATAT